GAGCAGTTAAATAAGATGTCCAAGATTGGTCGACTGATCTGAAACGGTAACGGTGGTTCAGCATGGCGTCGAGATTTGACTTGACGTCAGTCCGTATTTTTCGCTGAGTTATGAATTGCTGATAACTTTGTGGTTCAGCAGCATGCACACACAATGTCACATTGCCACAATCGCTGGACACTGGAGCAGCAAGATTACTTGTTTGTACTACGAAAGGGCATAAGCGATCGAATTAGTTTTTCAAGACGACCGCTTCAGATTTAAACGTCTTGTGATTACGGTCAAGCCGCTAGAGGCGCTCACACCAGACAGCATGACAGTACTTCACGTATGGCCACATCAGAATACCATGTTGTCCTTATTTTTCGCAGATCAGTTACCCGCTACCTGATTTTTGCCTAGTTGCACCGAAGCAACCTGGGTTTAATTCCTTAATCAAGAGAATCAGCGGTTGAGAAAAATTTTGTTTTTTCTCTGCACGTGAAACCGGCATCTACAGAGTTCGAAGTCACCCCGCCCCTGACTTGTGCCGAATTTTGTTAGTAACAACCTGTTGCACAAAGTGCTATCGCTTATTAAGTTGCATTAATTTACACAACGGCCTAAAACTAATAATTTTTTTGTTTCTAGCTTAGCGGATTTGATTAATTTCGTATTTTTTTTAGTACAAAATTAACGGAGTCTGGCATACGTGGATTGATTACGCAAAATTTCAAGAGCTCTATCAGCTGTACGTCACTTCAGGGAAACGATTTTCTTCGATGGACTATATTGCTGAGACCCCTCACTGGGCGTTGTTTGAATCTGAAGAACATGGCTTCAATCCAGCTGACGTCAGGTGGTACAGAAAAAATCGAAAAGTTGTGCCTGAATGAAACCTTCGTTTTATTTGCTTGAATGTCGACGAGAAAATGTCTCTTTTGCCTAAGACTGTTTTTTTCTCTTAGTTTATGCTTCATCTGTTTGCGCATGCAAAGAGTAGGTGGTTTGCGACGTCTTTTGTGTTGTCAGTCTTTAAACGCGTCTGCTGGCAATTGCACTGGTGTGCGCATCGCAGAAGGAACATTTCTCATATTTGAATGCTGATCTACTTCTGTTTTTCATCGAGTTCCATGCTGGCTTGTTGACTGACATGTGCTGGTATTTCAGTTCCACCCTACGTTTGGGGATGGCATGAAAGGTTGATATTTAATCAATTTAGAAATTTCTTTTTACTAATTTCTCTATTTATTATACATATGTAGAGTCAAGTAACATTTTCAATCTGTTTCTGATTAATCTCAAACACCACCTTCATTTTGAAACAAGAAGATCAAAGCAATGACACTTCTTTTTTAAGTTTTTGATACCGGATTGAAGGGGCGTGAGCACTGTCTCTGCTTCTAGTGGCCTAGGGGATCCTTTAAGTAACCCGCGGTTCCATGGTATTTGAACGCCTGCAGTGCATGGATGCAAAGGATGGTTGTTTACGCCGCTTCAATCCGGTATCAAAAACAAAAGGATGACATATTAGCGGCGGTATCAATAATCAAATCTAGCAGTATGGTACTAAAACCATAAGATCGGTTTCTTCTATAAATGATACTTCTTTTGGAAGCAATGTACTCAGCTACTAAAGAATTAGCATTTATAGGACTTGCTGAAGACAACGTGAAATAGTTCATTTCTGCACAACTCAATAAATGTAGTAAATCAGTTAATTGACTACTTCCCTCGTTTTTGCCGTTGTCACGGGAATCATTTAAGGCAGATATGTTGCTTGACTGACTGGTAATTTTGTTGTTCACAGAGGATGGTACGTGATGAGGCGGAAGCTCAGTTCTTAGATCATGCGGATATAGATGACAAGCAATCGGTTTTCAAGTTCGAGCAGAATACAAGCAAGAACAAGATAAAATTTACAATGTTAAGCAAGAAAGCGCCTATGACGATGAACAGCGTGACCTGGCGAGGCAATGACTTCTGGAAACGGAAGCAAGGATATAAGGGAATGTTATAGAAATGTGTAGAATAGCTAACGAGATCGAATTTAAATAAAACAAATAGGCTAGGAGAAACGAAAACGTACATTCCCATGTAGCGGCAATGCATATGCGACCCATTAAAGTCTGAACATAAACAAGAAAGACATAGAACAAAAAACAAATAGTCGCTTACAACGAACAAGAGAAAGTTTGGACAGTGTACGGGAGCACTTATGGCAATAAACATAAAACAAGTGTGAAACAAAGCATGATGAGATCGCAAATAACATTCGCATATGACACAACAATGGCAGGAGAAGAAACTACGGCGAGCATACAAAAGATTAAAAAGTGCGTTCTTAGCAGCCGCAAAAAAATGACAAAGAAAAATAAGAGAACAATTGTTAAACCGAAAATTATGTTAAACAGCAAATTAGGGAATAACCCGGTTGTAAATGCCGACAGCGAACTCCGCGCAATCCGCGTTCAAACGGGGCGTTATAGGCTGACGGTGAGTTTATTGATTGATTCTCATGCCGTCATTTGTGATTGACTTATTTTGGAAAGTCCACGTGATTTACTGAAAATTACCATCACCTAACACCCTACTGCATCAAAAGGGTAAATAACTCTGTGAATTGATAGTGGGTGCCGTGACGGGTTGTAACAGTTCCTCAAGCGTAAACACCGGACAGTTGGCTAATATATCATCATTAACACTGATTACTCCAGATGGCATAGTGTCCAAAAGTGATGCACTAACAGCCGGTACTTGAAACAGGCCAAATTATAGAAGTGAACTCTTATTTTCGATATCATCTAGTGAGACATATGAATATTATGCCGCTGGAACATGACAGCCAAGGTTATTGACGGTGCTGTTCCAATGTGCAGAAAATATGGTTTGAAAAAATAGGGACATGTCAGAATCTGGGAATCGATCTTAAACAGATGTAACTACTAAAGAATGTGCGAAAAGGCGCCAGTTTCTATTTCTACGAATGGCCTCATTGGAAAGTCAATGATCAGTTTGAACCAGCTGTTTGAATCACAGAAGTGCTGATAAAAAAAAACGTACGAAGGCTGTCGTTTTGAATACCGTCAGGATGGTGGAAAATCTTTTGTAGCAGATTGCTACAGATGGCAAAATAAATAGCTTTCAAATTCAGGCCTTGTGCAAATAATGATATTTATTCCGCTAGAAAGAAGTTATTTGTGACTCGCAGCTAGAGGCAAATGCACCAGATCACTCGCATACATAACGATTAAAAACAATTTTATTCCTGTAACTTGTTACTCGACTCTTTGTCGGTTGTACTGAAGCGCAAATGGTGATTTTTACATTAATTAACAGTTATAAATCAAAGTAGGTCGAGGCATTTTGCTTTTAAGATCTTTCCCGTAGTGCACATTTGAAAGCATGCAGTGTCCATCACAACCACAAGCGCACACATGGGTAAACTTAATGTTTCGACTGCTAGTTTCCCATTCACGTAAATACGCTTGAAACCGGTATAACTTGCAGCCAAAGATTGAAGGACTAGTAAGAACCGGAACACATGATTACTGGATATATGAATGACTGGCGTATGGTTCAGGTGAAGAATTTACCGTGAACGAATAGTGGGAATTCTGCATCAGAAGTTCAACGTTTGCATTGTATCTGTATGGCATTTTGATCAAAAATTGTTTGTTTGTTGTGATTAGTACTCATGCTTTGTTTCTGTGATATCTCTGTACTTCAACGGTCGGCATTAAAATATAGTCTTAGATGAGTCATTCGTTATTTGACAACTTTTGACATCAATAATCGTTATTAGTTTTGACTTCCAAGAGGTATTTCGCTCAGAATTTCGTTG